GAGAATTTGACATTGACAGGAATATTGTGTTTAATGGCTAGTTTTGTCCAAGTGTGGATAAAGCTTGAGCTGGTTTCAAGAACAAAAGATAAACTGCAGTGTAATGTACTGTTGTTGGATTTGTTAGTATCAATTTTGTTCATGTGTTGAGTTTTGTAGTGGGGAATGTTGGAGAGTTAATTTACATTCAATTTAGGTTCTTTTATTGTTAGCATGACAAAGTTAACTATAGAAAGAGAGATTTGAAGTTAAAATGATGCATTGCTGTTTGTTAAAAGCTGAGAAAATGGTAAGCCTTTATTTCTGAATAATGTAAACACAATTTTTATCCAAAGGAATTTTATGCATTTGGTTTCTTTATTAACATTTTAATCAAAGGCCTGTACACAAAGTCAATTTTTTGAACATTAGAAAGAGCTGAAATGCTGTTTAAAACTGATTAAAAAGAGCATTAATTAACTGTAAATGTGTGGGTAAGTTTGTCAGCTGTATAAAAATGTGGTTGAACAGAAAAGTAAATTTTGGTAACCATTTTGAAATATAGTTTAGGCTTTGAAACCTTGGTTCATGTATTAGTGCATATTTAAATTTTTGTGTTAGAATGAATTTTATATAAAAAATGTAAATTATTTTATGTAATTATTATAATAAGAAGAAAAGTCTTATAAGGTTTCGGTTAGAAGAATTTAAGTTGTAGAACTTATTTTTTTTAAGAATTGTTTTTAAAATATAATCTTATAATTTTTAATGGTTTATTTGTTTTATTGACAGGTAAGAAGGAAATGGAAAGTGTAACATTATGTATTCCATGTGGGCAGAACCTTTGCATTGAGTGTAGCCTATGTAATGTGTTGGAGAAAATATAGAGTAAACCAGTGTTGAGAAGTTAAACTCATACTTACTCACATATACTGGATTGAAATTGCATGGAAATCGAAAAATTTCAGATATGCATGCATTACTACTTTATTTCTTGAAATTTTACTAAAATTAGAAACCTGTTTTTTTTATGGTCTATACTCTTACTTTCTATACAATACAGTGGTAAAATGGCTTCTCAAATTGAAGATTTTATTTGCAAAGAGTTACCTAGGCCTCAGCCACCATGTTTTAAACCAAGGCCCATCGATGAAAACAATCCATCTTGTGATGGTTCAATGCAGTTTAGCATTTCATCATTTCCAAAGGAAGCTATGGAGGTTATGTACATGATGAAATTTCATAGGAAGCTCTGCGATGTAGAAATTCGAGTAGCTAATGAAATATTCCATGCCCATAAAATAGTGCTTGCTGCAGCCAGTCCCTACTTCAAAGCCATGTTCACAAGTGGTCTGAAAGAATCTGAGATGTCCGTCATCAACATCCAGGGAGTCTGCCCAAATAGCATGGCTGTTATCATCCGATTTGCTTACACTGGAGAAATCAAAGTTGAAGAAATGACTGTTTGTAATTTGCTCCCAGCAGCCACTATGTTCCAGGTGAGAATTGTTGACAACCTAAGCAAATGACTGAATAAGATTTTCAGTTGTTGGTTTTAAGGGTATTTTAGGCAGTGTAAATAAGTAGAGTTTTAGCTTTAATAGACTACTGTCTGTTTCTACAGTGTGATGACATTCCACCTTCTATACCCAGGATAGTAAATAGGTACCATACATGGCAAGCAATGAAATTTTATTGGCACTCAGAAACTTTGGTGACAGTGAAGGAAAGTTTTAAAAAAGAAAACAGATATGAGAATCTATATTTTTAGTTTGAATCCTTACTAAGTGAAACTTAGCTTTGGTTTGCTCTAAATCATGCCAAAGCTTAGCAGACTCTGCAAGATCTGGTGATCTTGCACAAGTGTGCATGTGCAGTGCCATATCTTTGTTCTCTAACAAATGCAACTGTCATGAATGGCAGTGGCATATCTTTGTTCTCTAACAAATGTGACTGTCATGAATGGCAGTGGCATATCTTTGTTCTGTAACACATGCAACTGTCATGAATGGCAGTGGCGTATCTTTGTTCTCTAAATGCAACTGTCATGAATGGCAGTGGCATATCTTTGTTCTCTAACAAATGCGACTGTCATGAATGGCAATGGCATACCATACATTCTTTGGATGGTTAATTCTCTTGTGCCCACCAGATTTTTGATTCTTAAAAGAAAGTTGTAATTTCAGTTCTGTGTATATTTTCATCAAATTATTCTTGTGACGGCCTTTATTCAATTATGAATCTTATAAAGTCAGATGTTAGAAACAGACTAACAGATGAAGATTCAGCAGTGTGTGTTACTCATTAGTCAACAAATTATAGGTCAAACATTAAAGAACTTTCATCAAAAATGATTCAAAAAAGATCAAACAAACAAATAAATATAGTATTTATAGGTATACATGTAACATTGTAACTGTAAAAATTAATAAAATATAGGTATATGTATAACTATAAAATATAGGTATATATATATATAACTAAATATATGACACATTTTTAAACAACAAAACCCGAACAACTAGAGTATACTAAACTTTGCACATTATATATGCTACACTAACCTGCATTTAGGCAGTTCGTTTAAGTATTATACGCGATGTACGTTTTTTGGGGTGTGGTTAATGAAAGTGTTCCAAAACGTGACATTAATATCTTGATGACTTAATAGTTACCACTGTTTATTTTATTTTGACATGACAGTTAAAACGTATTTGCCATTCCTGTTCTATACTAAAGCATTCTTCAGGTAAAACAAGGCCTCATTACAAAAGCTGAAATGTTGGCCCACTCTAGAAACAGGCATTAAAGCCAAAACTCTACCAAGGTTTTCAGTTTCAATTGTAACCATTTGTATGCATGTGTGTGTGTGTGTGTATGAATATGTGTGATAAACTTTAACTTCAAGGGTCTCACAGTGAAGGGTCTTGGACTATCGGCTTTTTCGTCTTTCATCTAGAGTCCCAGTGAGATTTTCTAGGGTCTCATACGTAGAATTTAATCAACTCAAGAAAAAGAAAAGCATTTCAGTATCAATGCAAAACTTTATTTACAATGTACACTACATGTTTCCCTTCTGTAAGTGGAAAAGAGCATGTTAATGTTCAATGCAAAACTTTATTTACAATTAGCTGGAGTACCCATCCCCTGGATGGAAGTTGTGTATATTCATGAAAAGTTGCTTCCCTTATATGTAATTGTAAAAATGCAAAAACTCCCATAAAAACTACAAAACCACAAACTTGCATGTATCTCCGCATAGACCCAACAAACCTTTATGCTAAATTTGGTGAATATCCATCCATTTCTGCGAAGTAGTTACATGGACATATACAGACAGTACTTGTATTTATATAGATTTACACTGCATGTTGTTTCCCTTTATGGGTGCAAAGTAATTTTCATGATAAGATTAAAAATACTTTTCCTCATCTGAAAATTTTCAAATATTATTTGCATAGCCTATAAAAACCTTCTAAATAAATATCAAATGTTTTATATTTTATTTTTTTTACTCTAAGTTTACATGAGGTTGGTTGATTTGACCGACCTCGTAACCACCATAAAAAATTAGGAAATAATTATAACTTTCCCCTATTTTCTTTCTGGAATAACAGCAAATTGTAACAGAAAACAACAATTATTTATCCTAAGTAGCTTAAAGCTTGTAACAGTATACATCTATTTATTCTTAAATTTTATTGTTTTATTGCCCTATTAACCACATCTAACTATTAATTCACGTCATATAAATTGTAATCATGTGGGGAATGTGCAGATCACATTAGGGTATTGATTTACATAATGCATGGACAACTTGTGAGCATTCCTCATAAAAAAAAGTTTTATTTTACTGTAGCTAACATAAAAAGTTTTCAGATTTTACATTTTTGTTACTTTTTTAGTAATAAATAAAGATTACATATGAAAAACAAGAAATAAAGTTCATACCTGGGTCTTTTTTTTTGTGCTCTCAACTGTCGAGGAAACTTAATCCTACTTTTTATACTAATTGTACTACTGCATTAAATAATTTCTATTTAATTAAATAATTCACCAAAGAACACAGAATAATAACATGCAAAACGGATACAATTTCCCATAACTTTCACAATTTTTCTGGTTTTCTAAAAGCTGTTAAAAATTCAGCTAAACTTGTCGATGTATTTCCCATGGGAATAAAGTTTGACTGGAAGTAAAATAGACAATTCTCTATATAGACAACAACGTAATGTAATACATCATTTGACAGAGAGAAACTTTGGCTTTCTGTTGGTTTTAAATAATATAGTCTTAAATGTCTGAGAGAATATTGGCAAGTTCTGAAAGAGAGGACATGAAAGATGGGTGTGGCAAAAGGGATCTGATTTTCTAATTTATTGCCCTGTAACTAAATGAAATTGAAGAATATGTAAATTATGCTTTTCCAAATGTTGAAAACATTATAATGAGTAATTTACATTAAATTTTGTACTTCTCAAAGGGGTGGTAAATAAATTAGAGAAGAGGGAAGACATAGATAACAAACGTCACAGTTCTCATACTAGGGGAAATTGAGAATTTAAAAAAAATATTTCGTTATAAAATTAAGAACTTAAAACTTAAATAATACTACAACATTGTGATGTTGAATTTATTCATATACATTGATAATAAAGTAGTTAATTAAATTTGGAATGTAACTGTGAAAGGTTATGACATATGCACTTTGACCTACCCAAGGTGAAAGAGTTAATCATATGGTACTTTCATGTGGCTTTATTTTCATGCAAGTTATTTTCATTGAAGAAATATTGATAATAAATTAGTTTAATCAAATTTTGAATGTAACTCTGTGAAAGTTTATGATATGTGCACTTTAACCTACCCAAGGTGAAAGGATTAATCTTGTGGCTTTATTTTTGTGCAGTTTATTGTCATTGATGAAACCTGTTAGAAGTTGATTGTGGACAGCTGTGTGCAAACTGTTTAGTTTGTTATGGTGCAAAGTTCAAAGCAAAGTACCTGTGCTTGCCTTGTGTATGGGGAATTTTGCTGTGCGTATTCAATGCATACCCGGGGGATCAAATCTCCTGTGTCTGGACAAATTATCATACGTATGGGACCCAGGAGTTTGGGTTAACTAGAACCCAGCACTTGGCTGTTTTTTTATGTTTAATCAAATGTTGAATTCTTTACAGATTTCACCAAGGTCTGTGATGCAGTTTAAAATACAGTTGTCATCAGTGTAAAGTTTATTATTTCCAAAACTTATTTCTTGTAGAACTTGTTACCAAAGAGTATTGTTGTAAACAAGACATCTCATTATGCATATTTAAACTTTATTGAATTTTAACTTGCACTGTCTGAAATAATTGGGTTATGTTTCTACATTGTAGAAAAATCATCAGTCTGATTGGTCTTTAATTTATGTGCACAAAAGTTAGTCTAAAGTTTTTGCATTCAAACATTATGACTGATATTTTGTACTTTTCTCTTTGTAGGTGTGATTATATCTCTTAATAGGCGAATAAAATACACACTGAGAAAGAATATGTTTAACAGTGCCTTATCAGTGTGCTGAAGTATGGAAGAGTTGACAGTAAATTTTAGAACTATTATTTTGTAACTAGCAAAGTATTGTTTCAAACAAGTTCTGTTAAGTTCAGTCATGTATATCTTGTTTTGTTAACAAGAAAGCTACGCAATAGGTGTAGAAATTGTTATTACCATGTATATAGTAGAACTGTAAATAGTAACATGTGTTCTTCAGCGTATTCCATTTTTCTTTTTTTAGATGAATCACATTATTGAAGCTTGCTGTAATTTCCTCGAGGGCCAGCTAGACCCAACAAACTGTATTGGGATAGCAGATTTTGCTCTTCAGCATGGTTGTACTAGTTTATATCAAAGAGCTAATCAATTCATGGATCAACACTTTTCGCAGGTAAGCGTCACCATTGTGTTAATTTCTTTAATAACGTGTTAATGTCAGAGGAGTAAGAGACAAGTATTACCATTGTGTTAATCTCTTTGATAATGTGTGAATGTCAGAGGAGTAAGAGACAAGTATCACCATTGTGTTAATCTCTTTGATAATGTGTGAATGTCAGAGGAGTAAGAGACAAGTATCACCATTGTGTTAATCTCTTTGATAACGTGTGAATGTCAGAGGAGTAAGAGACAAGTATCACCTTGTGTTAATCTCTTTAATAAAGTTTTGAATGTCAGAGGAGTAAGAGACAAGTATTACCTTGTGTTAATCTCTTTAATAATGTGTGAATGTCAGAGGAATAAAAGATTCACTGCAATACTTGCCTGTAGATATCCATGTTAATTTCTAAGGGCCATTCTTTTCTTTTAGTTTGTATTTAGTTTTTCACTATATCCAATTTTAACTTGAATTAGTATTTACAGTTTATGTGTGGTATTAGTTGAGGTCAGATAATTGACTTTCAAGGGTTTATGACTTATGAAGAACAAATAAGTTTTGTGGGTGCCATTGAAGTTTTTAATTTCAGTTTTTTTTTTTAATTTGAAGAATTTGTGAAGCTGTGAATTAATTTTGTTATGATACAAAGCATTTTGAAATAATGAATAGTGAATTGTGAAATATGGTCATTTAGTTAGTCTGCTATTTGTGTATTTTGTAAAAAAACAGTTAGTTAAGGACATATGAAAGTTAAGCTTTCAGATATTAATAGATTTGTCACATGCTTTATGATGTACAGAATGTTATTGATCTTGGATATTTTGAAAGATTGATGTTGAAATCTTGGCAAACTATTCTTTGATAATGTCTTACATGTTTGTCTGAGCAGATTAAAAGGGTTGATACATAAACAATTTAGAATTTAAATAAAACTTTGTGACAAATCTCCATTAACAAAAAACTTTGCTTGCACATTTATAAACACAGACGTAGTGATAGAGTAACTGAAATAAAAAGACTTCGTAGAAGGTTGATTTTTGAATTATTTTTTGTTTTGATTTGGACCATAGGTATCACAAGGAGAAGAATTTCTGGCTCTTTCAGCTTGTCAGCTAGTTCAGCTCATCAAACGGGATGATTTAAATGTTCGATGTGAATCTGAAGTCTTTAATGCTGTTCTGAGATGGGTTAAGCACGATGAAGAACGTAGAAGACCCAAAACGGCAGACATTTTGTATGCAGTTAGGTGCCATTTCCTCACTCCTCGTTTCTTGAAAGAACAAATTCAAGAGTGTGACCTTGTGAAAAACCTTCCTCAGTGCTGTGAATACCTCAGTCGTATCATTCAGGTAAGTGAGGACAGCTGTAAGCTCGGATAAGGTAAAATAAAATATCGTGCTTACATTCAGTCTCACTTGATGGATTTCCATTTAACCTTTATGATGCATCAAGTGGATATATCCATTTTGACATTTATAGCTTTTGGATCCAACAAGTGGATTTACCCCACGGCTCCACAAAAAACTAGACAAGATCAAATTTCTAATTTCATTTTTTGGTGGATAATTGACACTTTCTGGGAACCAGCCCGATATATTTTACTCACCAAAAGGGTTAAACTAGCATACATATACTTACCCCCTCTGACATAAACATTCAACAAATAAAAATAGAATGATTTCCTTATGGATTGTTATTTAGATAGTGGTTGTTTGAATTACACAAAAATATTAATTATGTTCTGCCAAATTGAAGTAATACTGTTAATTGATTACTTTCAGCTTTGTTCAGAATAAGTTGTAAATACAAAATATATGTGATGATGTGAGAAAAGCTATTACGGCCATTCGGTTGCAACATCATACAGATAATCAGTGGAAACAACAGACTGTATGAAGATTCACATAATAAAATGACACTTCTAACCTTTCATCAAATCATTGAAGTGGCAGTCTTTGATAGGCTTAACCCTGCAAGTGGAACTAAACAAGCAATTGGCTGTTTTCCCTTCAACATGATTCCAAAGTTGATTATGAGGGGATCAACCTTGCCTTGTACCACCTGTTATTCTTGGTTCTGTTTGGTTGAACTCCAGGTTGGCTGTTTTCCTTATCTTGTGAGCCCATCTGTGTTGTTACCTCTGCTAGTGTAATTGTCTAATAGTGCATGGGGATTTCCTGGTCATAGACTGTGAGGATATTTGAAGTCAGTCCAACCTTACATCCATGTTTTTGCATGAAGTCAGTTCCAAACATGCACTCCTGTGGATCATGTAAAGAAGTTTCCGATAGTTAGGACAACTTCCAACTTTTCTCTTAGTGAAACCTTACAGCCACTTGCTGTTCACATCAATCTTTCTTATTTCTGGAATCTTTCTTATGGAAGTAATTTTTCCAACTTTAATTAACCAGATTATGTTGAACAATTCTAGCCATAGAACCAAATCAGTTAACATATTGCAAGACTTCACATAAATAAACCTATCAACTCGCGGACTTTTTTTTAAAATAATAACACTTATTTCTTTTGGGACAGATGAGGTATTCTCAACTGCAGGATATCATATATTTGGTTTATTATCATCTGTTGGTTCCTCACAGTTTTGTTTGTTGTGTGCATGTTTTCCTTCATGATATCTTTTTAGAGTTTTTATTTCTTATAGGCTATTGTTTTCAGTTCTTGGCAATATGTTCCTTTAAAGTCACAATTGAAACACCTAGATGTTGTTGTTTACTTCTTTTATCCTGAGTTAACAGTTTAATGAATCATTTGAACTATTTTACCATAGAGAGTTAATGTTTCTATACTATTTGATCTGAGAAGTTTATAATTCTTGGATGGTGAATTTAGTTATTTATCTGTGACTAATTGATTCCAGATCCATAGTCATCTGGAGAGCATTTTTTAAAGCTGTACATTTACTTTGTTAAGTCTAATTCACATTTCTTCATCCAATTTGATATCTGTAAATTGGTCACATACCAACAAACCCATTATTTCACATGGATCATCTGGTGGGTAAGGTAATTGGGCAAGCTTTTCCACATCATTCTCAAGTTTGGCTAAAGTCTCATCTTTCTTTGTACTTTGTTCCTGAATTTTTGCTTTGGAAACCTTCTAGCATGCCACTTTGTTTGGTAAGGCAGTTGTAAGCTAGGATGTTGTTAAAGCTGGTTTTTCTAAATGAACAGAAAGATGAATAGCTTGCTTTTCAATGTTTCATCCATTCATTTTGGAAACTATTTCAAGTTGAGACTCCTATGCTTCCCATTGTGATTTTCTGTGGTAGTCTTGTTTTTTTTTTTATTAGGTGATGTTGTTTAACTGGCCAGCTAAATTCGGGAACTGGATTAAATAGTGGTTTACCTGGAGTAGTCTCAGAAGGTGTTTAGCTAGAGCAGTCCCAGAAGTGGTTTAGCTGGAGTAGTCCCAGAATTGGTTGCATTCATAGATGGCATAGCAGTAGTGGTAACGCATGTAGACCAGATGGGTTCTTCTCTTTAGTGTTTAAGGTTGGAATTCTTTAATATATGCATACAGAGGTGTTGCTGGTTTGGTCCTTGCAGATGAGAGGTTTTTTAATACTTCTTTTTTAACTTTATTGATTTCCTCTTTGGCTTCTTCAAATTCCCCCGGTGGGACAGTGGTAAATCTACAGACTTACCCTGCAGTGGACACAGCAAATAGCTCAATGTGGCTTTGTTCTAAAGCAAACAAACAGTTTCCTTAAACTTGTTATATTTAATGTATTTTGTACTACCTCAGTTTTGGTGTTGTAATCTTTCTGTACATCTCCAATAGGTTCTTTGATTAAATTTATTTTTCATTCTTAGTTCATCTTTAAATTTTTTCTTTCTCTCAATTCCTTAAATATTTGTTTCTTTCTTCTAGGTCTTGTTTTAATTTCCTGTAGTTTTTTTGTGTTCTTTACTTTGTTTTGTGATTTACAGTATACTTTCAATTGCATCATCATCTTGAACTTAAACTTCTGTCTGGATTCTATTATATTTTCACTGAAATAACTCACTCATGAAATTGTAATGATTTCTGTCACTGGGCAATGGCCATTCAAGTTGATGTAGATGGAAGCACTTAATATAAACTAAAATGTACATGTTCTATAAACAGTCAGGGGCGGATTGGCCTATCGGGATACCGGGACTTGTCCCGGTGGGCCGATAGTCCAACTCAATTTTGGGCCGATCTACATAAAAGTAAAGTATGAAGATCAATATGATAATTTCTCAAAATCAGTAGCATGTTCTAAAATCTGCAAAAATTGTGCTACTTGCGTTTATGTAACCCTACAAAAATATAACCTCTATAGTAATGCATTTTCAACAATCGGGTATGCATATAAATATCTAGCTACCCTTTCATCAACTCAAGTTTCATGCGAACGATCTTTCTCAATTCTCAAATACGTGAAAAACCGATTAAGAAACTCGTTGTCTCAAGACAACTTGGAGGCATTACTGCTCATGTGTACAGAAAAAGATTTGCTGCAAGGCATAGATTCCGATTCTGTGATAGAATATGTATGTAAAAGAAGCGATCTTCTGAGAAATAAACTGTTTCTGTGAACAAAACATTTATTGCATCAAGCAACTACAAATGAAAAAATTTTAAACTTTTTATTCCGATGATAAAGTGAATTAAAAATTAATTATGAGATTTTAAAAAATCTATTGTTGTTCTATTGATTCATTCGATTACAAATTATAATAAATCCAACAAGAAAAGAATATTCAACAGCAGAAAACCTGTCCAGGGCCACTCTGTGATCCCAGTCCCGGGCCGCTTAGCCATCCCAATCCGCCCCTGTAAACAGTGTTCTTTGATAGGCCTAACTCACAAATAAAACTAAATAACTATTTGTTAAATTTCCTCTCATAGTTGTAGCCAAACTTACTGACCGACTCACTAACTGACTACAACTCTGGTGATTTTATGTTATCACGATAATTTTCCCAAGTTTTTAGAAAGTTTGAGATGTTATGTTTTACATCAAGACATTCAAGAAATTGCTAGATATCACTACATCATGCCAATATAAAACACCTAAATTAAAATATTAAAACATAGTTCACAACAATATTTTTATTGTTTTTTATGAATTGTAAAGTGGCATGTGAAAATGTAAAATTGTGGTTCCTTTTTACAGGCAACTAGTGCATTGATACTATTGGATGTTTTGTCAGTGTGTTTTTAGCAGTCTCTTAAATAAAATACCTGCAATATGACTTTCAAAACAGTACAGTACAGCTTTTTGTGAGTGCAGTTGAAAAATGACTTGATGTTTGTTGGAATGATATGAGAAAGATTAAACACTATATTTAATTAATATATTTTTGCTGCTTACCAGGATCTCACAGTTTGTCGTAAGTACAATTGTCACCAGAGGACGCCAAAGGTTCCCTGTGTCATCTACACAGCTGGGGGCTACTTGCAACAATCATTGAGCAATATGGAGTGTTACAATGCTCATGAGCAGCAGTGGTTCTCATTGGCTGACTTGCCAAGTCCCCGAAGCGGTATTGGAGGTGCATTTGTGGACGGAAAGTTTTATGCAGTAGGAGGAAGGAACAACTCTCCTGATGGAAATCACGACTCTGAGGCTGCTGATTGTTTTGACCCAATTACTAACACATGGAAACCAGCTAGGCCGATGAACGTGGCTCGGAATCGCGTGGGAGTCGCTGTATTAGATGGAATGTTGTATGCAGTTGGTGGATCCCAAGGAACCATACATCATAATTCAGTAGAGAGGCAAGATTTATTATTATTAAGACAATTTCACTTCAAAGGATTTATTGTATGAACTGTCAAGAACTATAGTTTTGTTAATTGAGATGCAAAAAAATCTTAAACAGATTGAACAGTTGCATCATTATAAGTTATAAAATGATCTTGCTCCTGGCTGCTTTTGTTAATGGCAGAGAAGTGATTAAAGTTTTGTTTTTTTCGTTTACATATAAATAAGTATCTAGATATATTAACTAGTTAATGAAAATCATCAGATAATATGTAATTTACAATAGAAGAACAAACTGTTAATATTTTATCTTTTTTTAGATACTAATATAGTTAATTTAGGAAAAGTTTTGAGACTGAATTTTACCATAAACCAATGTTTACTGGGCAACATTTTCATTTTGACAGTCTTATACCTTTTGAGTTTAAGAATAATTTATTTTATAATTTAATGCATTGGGATTATTATCAATGTTCCCTCTAATTTTTTAAATCCATGTGCGGAATGAATTTTTTCATGTGCACCAGTATCAAGGCAATGTGTGCTACCAGTTGGTTATTTGGGCTTTAGGCCTGTCGACTGCAAGAGTCATTAAAGCTGTCAACGTGTTGAGACTCCTCACCATTACCGAGCATGTGCACGGCTGGAATGATGAAATGTGGGGCATTTGATTGGTTGTTGTTCAGCTGTGCAGTTTAGAGGAAACACTGATGATACCGAGTTTGCTCTCTTTGTTTTAATATATGAAAGGAAAAACATATATATACATAAACAATATTTTTAGTGTCCCAGTATAGACCTGAGTAATAGATGGTTATTTTTTTCATACTTATATGTATATTTACTACTTATTTATAGTTACTTTTTAAATTAGGTTTAGCAAGTGCATGAAAAAAAAAGTTTTCATAGTTTATCATCTGGTGTGCTGTCCAAAGTGAGAAGTTAAAGGGGCTGAAATTCCAATTCAGGTAAAATGGATTTCTGTGAAATACATGACTGTAATACTTTTTCCATCCACATCTCCTTTACTGTTGGAAGTAATAAGCTATGAATTTTTACTACTTTATAAATTTTTGATAGATTAATATCTTCATAGGTATGATCCTGTTGAAGATAAATGGAGTTTTGTTAGTTCCATGATTACAGCTCGCATTGGAGTTGGTGTTGCTGTGGTAAAACGATTACTGTATGCCGTAGGGGGTTATGATGGACATGCCCGACTCAATACTGTTGAATGTTATAATCCTGAGACAGATGAATGGACGATGGTTGCCAGCATGAACACGACAAGGAGTGGGGCAGGTGTGTACAGTGTATATTAATCCAGAAAATTTATTAGTCAAGACCTGTGGAGGATTTTTTAAGATTTAAAATGACTGTATTTTTAATATTTTTGTTTTCCAAAGAAAACTTGCTTCAGTATTCTTTCACTTATCTGTAAAAAGACAAAAACTCAAATTGGTAAATAGCCAATATGACAGTGATATTTTTATTTCTTGTTTCTTTCGGCAGGTGACTGACAGAATTAGTTGTGACATTAACCTTTTATTATAGTGATTGTGTGAACTTAATCAAATTAATGTAGATTGAAGTTTACTATTTGTTTTAACTGAGTGTAAAAGTAAGCATAATGCATTAATATTATTATTTCTGTTCAGTTTAGCCTAGTTATATCAGTCACTTTGGTATGTGGTTTGTACTTTTTCACTTAAAAAAAAGTTTGGCGTAGATTAAAAGATATGTATAAGACCGAACATACTTCATTAACAGTGTTGAAGGGATATTTAAGTTTTCATTGTATTGTATTAAAAATATCACCTGGGTCCAATATTCAAAATTAATTAAAGGAAGTAGGAAAAGATTTCTTAGGTGTAACCTCACTGGTTAACAATTTTTCACAAAAATATTGTATGGGATATATATTATATTTTAAAAAGAGTGTTTCAAATCAAAATATAAAATGTTATTGTTTTTAAATATTCCAGTAGAACAAATGTCAAATTACGTTCTAGTGACAATGAAATAAAACAAAATAGACGTCCTCTCTAAAACTGTTAAAAAAATAATCAAATTTCTATAGAATAATGACTACATCCTTCTGTGTATGTTTGTGATTTTCAGGTCCTTTTCTTATTGGCTGTAAACCACACGTTTTCGTATTGTTGGTATCTACCCACATTCTGATTGAGTATAATTGTTACAATGCTTGATATATAACAACAACAGTTTTTTGTTGCAGGTGTGGTAGCTTTGAACAACTACATATATGCTGTTGGTGGATACGATGGAACCTCCCAATTGAGGAGTGTAGAACGTTACAATACAGAAACTAATGAGTGGGAATGTTCTTCTTCCATGAAATCTCCACGGAGTGCCTTAAGTGCAGCTGTACTTGATGGGAAAATATATGCACTAGGTAGATATACAAATTAACAAAGTTTATTAATTATTAGGTGATTTGTATGTCTCAAGTCTGAGAACTATTTAGAAACAGAACAAGAAATTTTGAGAAGTTGATATATATAAAGGTGTATGTTAGTCACTAAAGTTTGTGTTAATTTTATATAGCACAAAGAAGAAATGTAAGTAAGGATTTATACTAAATATCACATTTTTACTACTGGCCATTGGTCTAGGTGATCAGTGTTTATAAAAATAAAACACTGGTGAACTGATTTAATTATTAGACATGTAACATTTACATTTTCATGTGTTGTGGGTTGTCTATTCATCAATGAAACAAAGTGACCTCTAGCCAAAAATCAGGATCTTTGTCTCATTTAAAACTCCTTTAGGGCAAAAAGAGTAGTTTGTTTCAACTTTAAATGTGCTTGTATACAGTTTACAGACCAACATAAAAGATGTTGGTTTTTTTAGTAATTATTTTTTCTTCTTTAGAAACCAACTAGAACATTTACTTATATGTAATCCTTAAAACTGTTAATTAGCTTTTGCTATATCCCAACAAAACGACAGTTGTATTGTTAGGAAGAACATGAAAACCACAAGTTGAAGATTGTTGGAAAAAAAGGAAATATAACATTTTGTTTTGAGTTTACTTACTGGTGAAGTATATTTTATTACAATTTTTCAATAAGTAAGATTTGTTTTTATAACAGGTTGTTTAGATCACTGGTGTGATTATTAAGACAAAAAAACAGTGGTTTAGCTTATGAATCTTTTGTCTTAAGCTACGGTTCCCCATATTTTTACCTTTTTTAGGCCTTTTGCTTGCATCACAACTTTTTATAATTTTACCATGTGCCTCCTATTACCAAGGTATGAAATAAAAGTTTTTGCTTATGCAATTGTTGCAAGTCTCTCTTGATTGTGTTTGAGTAATGTATCAAAATGTTCTACCTGTTCTAAAACAAATATTATTTAGTAACTGTAAAAGCTGTAAATTGTAATCAAATGAAACAAAAATTAATTATTTTCATTGTGATCGTATTAAGAATCAACTATATATATATTTTTTTGTCTGTTTAGGAGGATATGATGGTTTAAATTTCCTGGCAACGATGGAGGTTTATGATCCTCAAAAAGATGAGTGGGCAGATGCTGCTTCAATGTCATGTGGACGGAGTGGACATGCATCTGCTGTCTGTAGAGCTCCTTGTCTCGCACACGGTGTAGGGATTTCGTAAAGGTGAAATAGACAGTATACACAGATTTACTTTGCTGGAATCCGAGCTGCTAAAGAGCATATTAACCTTTTAATTTTTTTTCTTGGGGGGGGGGGGGGGTGTTAAGTTGAAAGAAACATCTGGTTTATTACATTGTTTTTGCAAAAAATATCTTGCTTATTATTATTTAAAAAAATTAAGTTACACTTAAAAATACTTAATACAAAATAATGTGTGTCCATTTTCAATGAAGTTTATTTGTACTCTTGCAAGATAAATAATGAAAAATTTTATACCTTAATTAACACAAAATATTTTCCTTTTGGTTAAAGAAAATTTTCTTTATTGCAAAACATTTATAAATATGTCATTAGGCTGTTGTAAAAACCCTTATTACCTTTTATCATGTTTTTTTTGGGGGGGAAGTGATTTTGTACACACAAACTAAACAAAAGTTTCTGTTGGTAAAAAGAGTACTTGTGTAAATGATAATAAAATATTAATAGTTGTACATAATATGTAGCTGTTCTATTTAGACTGTTTTTATTTGTGTGCATTTTTTTTGTACATACAGAGTTTGATCTAAACAGATCAAAGAAGTATGCTATTCTTTCCAAGTTTCCATTCATTTCATTACTTAGCTGGATTTCTTTCTTTCTATAATATCTGTCATAAAATGTGTACATGTTTGTATATATATATATATAGAGAGAGAGATAGATAGCCCTATAAATTTCCAGGAAGTAACAACTTTAAGGGTTCTGTGTATCTTTTTTTGTTAACATTTTCACATCATAAATCATTGCTTCCTAACTGTGTAATAATATGCTACAGTACTTGTGGTTAATATTGAATTTGAGAGGGGGTAACATGTTGTGTTGCTTTCAATTTGTATGCGCAATTTTTGCTGTAAAACAAAATATTCATTACTTTCACTTACAAGTGATGTTGAAGAGGTAACGGGAATAGCTTCTTCACTGTATTGATCTGCATAAAATTTCGTAAATATTGTATTTTGAGGTTATGAATAAATTAGAATAAAAGTAATGGAAAATACTTCATTTGAACAAATTTTAAGATCTTGTTATGTAACCCAAGGCAACAGTAACTAAGGAAGGAAGAAAGATACCTTTTGTTGAATTACTGTACCTTAGGGATCAGTTTTCAGAAGGTTATTTATGCTTAATCGAAAAGTTTTCATCCAGTGTAAGGTCATTTAATATAACTATTGCTGATACTTTTTTTAGGATATTTATTAAATTTCAACAGGGCTTTAAGATGTGGACAAGTGCTTATTTAAAGAGGGAGCTTTCCAGTAAGTATAGGGTTGTTATGTGTTAGTTTCCTCCCATGAATTCACCTTCAGCTCCAATTATGCTGCATTAGTGGTTGTCATGAGGGTCAGTGTTAAAAGTAATCATCTTTTTTATATTATAAGAAAGAGAAAAACCCATTTTCAAAATGTGTCCAAAACAATTTTAATTTTTAGTTTCTTTTGGCCACCAGCATTATTTCAGTCTCATAAGAACCTGTTTACTTGACTTTTCAAATTTTAGATATGGGAAAAATCTAGAAAGAGTTGGTCTGTATTTTCTTTTAACTACTTTCACCTAAAGAGGAGTATGTCATTCTTTTTTTTAAAGGTAGTTTAAGCAACATTATATAACGTATTCATGTTCGATCAGGTCAAATAAACTTGTGCCAACAGGTCCCTACAGAAAATAAGGGGTCTGAAACATGAAGGTCTGGGAAAGAGAAAATAATTTCATTCTGCTTGATTGGAAGGGAGTATTATGTCATGTAGAGTAAACCTGACTCACAAAGAAAGCACACTTCATTTCTCCCAGCTGGAAAAAGCACTGTATTTACAGAACTTTCAATCTACATTAAGCTGACTCAACCACGTTTTCATTATTCTTTTAACTTTTCACAAGCTACTGAATCAAATAGTACATTTTTTTTAACTAAGTTATTTCCCTGCTGCAGTGATGGGGGAAAAAAAATATTCAGTGGCCTGTGATAACATCATCAACAATACAATAAAAACACAACTGGAAATACAAAGTAAAGAATAAATATGTTACTTAGGGAAAAACACAACAGTAAAAATAAACTGTACGGAATCCCTCGAAAGAAAAATATTGAAACCGCTCTACATTAACAATATTACCTCATGTAATCTGTCAAAACACAGTACCAATTTACAGGACAAAAGCAACAAAATTTACACCAGGACTTGAAAAATATATAATTTGCTTTCATAAGTTTCAAATTAAAATACTGCTGTATTTTTGAGATTGAAGTAACAGCTTATTCTCTTTTTCTCATGGAATACAAACATGCTTACTTATTCAGGTTTTTTATAACAAAAACTATACAAAAGCTAATTAAAGCTTGTGGTTAAGTTATTTGTAAGTAAACAATTGCTAGTGCTAAAACCATAAATACAGTTACTTTCCATATGCTTACAGATATATATATATATATAACATATAAAGCACTTGCAGCAAGATTTTATGGAATTAAAAAAAAATGGACAAAATATCCAGTTTTCTACAATGTTTTAAAAGAAAGAAAAATACATAACATTAAAATCTTACTGTCTTTTATCTATATTGTAAAATTAAGCTACTTCTACTAATAAAAAATATTTAGTTCTGGAATCCTTACATATGTTTAAGGTAAAGTAACAATCATTTTAATAATTATAAACTCTCTGAAAATGTTTACTCTTATTATTTAATTTTTCTTACTTACGAAGTGTTTAAAGATTCGTTGCTTAGGGATTAACAATATCAAAATATTAAAGTATGGATGAATACTATTAGGTTGTCCAGTAAAGGTCTTGATAGTTATTAAATCAATGCTTCAGCTTTCTTTTAATAAAGTAGAAACACAACTGCATAGATTTAGTAAAAGTTCCTAACTTGGCACCTGTTATAGTTTATACTTCTTTCATCCAGAGCCGAGTGCCAGTTTTTAGGGTTAAAAAGAAACCTAATGATCTGTGTAAACTAGAGGTTATCAAGACATTTTTTTCTTACCTTACTTTGTGTCCTAAATCAACATTTATTTACCCCAAAAGTAATCTACATCTAAATATGATCCTCCACAAACAATTTACAAAAACTGATGCTCACTAAATTTTTCACCAGAACATATAAACATTACAAAGGTACATCCCAAGATCTTTACACAAGTAGGATTACTAGTTGTACTACTATCAATAATGTGTATAAATAAAAACAATGTATGTACGAATTGGAGGTTATGCTTTGAGATAAAATTCAGTATAGTTTTAAAAAGCTATCGTCTATCGCTTCGATGAAAATATACATATTTTCCATGCAGCATCACACAAACGATGCCTGATATGAGTGACAGCATTAAAAAGAAGAAAATACTGACAAGGAGGTGAGACTTTGACACTTACTACCAAGCCCACTTTGATCCCTTTCTCTTTGCAAGTTTGGAACGTTCTTTTTTTTTTTCCTCCTATGTTTTCTAACTAAAGAAATGGATTTATTGAGAAAAGTTACACCCAGCAGACATTTCTCAAGTGTATGTGAATGGCAGCAAATATACGTGTAACTTTATACAAATTCACATGATACAAACAGAAGAACAAAGCCTCGGCTATTTCGGTATCATAGATTAGAATTCAAATACACTAAAAGAAAAGTATACATGATCGGAGGATGACATTTTTTTTGTTGTAATACTTGGGATATATATATACATAGAACTTTCTATTCTAGCTTCATACATTAAGCTAAGTGACATTTAAATTACTTTAATGAAAATGATGGGGTCCATTCAGTTATGAATCATTGTGGGATGAAAAAAACATCATATTAAAAAGATGGTTCCAAAGAACCTGGTCACAATGTTGTTTCTGGTTTAACTCTGAAAGTGTAGCTCTGTGCAGGCACTATATCTATAATACAGTTTCCACACTGAAACAAGCTCTGGCTAATGAGATTTTGATTGGAATCTTGAGGGATTTGTTTAGGCTTATTCCACTGTCTCTCAGCTTTAAAAATTAAGCCAGATGGTAATTAATATCAGTGTGCTGGAGAGACCCCAAGAGAGGATATGTGATGAAGGGGCATGTGCCTCCTGGCAGGTTATAACATGTGGGAGAAAAGACTGAGAGCACAAGTTATTGCATGAAATATTCCGAATGTTCTGATGGGGTGGCTTTCTCAAACCTTTTGGCTTCCTCTTGCATGCTCTCTTTGATTTTCAGTATTGCCGCTGATTCGTTCTGATCCTGTAAGCACAAGTAAATAAGACACTTTAGATACTAGCATGTCATCGTAAGTTCTCTAAATGCATGCTACCCAAAAAAAAAGCAATCTTTCAGAGCAGAGGGGAAAAAAAAAGTTGTAATTAGTTATATTATAATTTAAATTTTGTGGTGGTTACAAAATACAAACACTTAAAGCAGGCCATCTGTGAGCATTCCGAAAATTGTAAAAAGAAAAGGGGGCTTGCAAGAGGTAGGGGGTGGTGGTTTTGAAATACCATGCACAAATAAGAAATATATATATATACAAAATTAGTGTTAAAAACAGTAAAAATTGAAAGAATTAAAGTGGAAAAAATAACTTACATTAGGATGCATTAATTAAGAAAATATTTCACAAACAGACTAGCCAATTCACAGTTGAAGTCTTAAACTGAGCTGAGAAGAACAATTAGTACCCACATGGTCGAACCTGATCAATCCTATTGCAAAATCATACTATCTAAGAATGCGGAATTTTTGCCAAAAACTTGATTTAGTGAAACCAAAACTAAATAGCAATGCAAGAACATAAAGAACAAAAATGTCTGTGAAAATGTAAGTTATATTTTCTTGTCTGTTCCAAGTTTCCCCTGCCACTCAAATTTTGCACACACACAAAAATTACATATACCATCATGGCCCTTTCCGCACAGCTTTGCCTCTCAGAAATTTAAGTGCAGTGTTTCATAATTTTCAACCCACGTTTTTTTTTTCTTTCCTTCTTTAGTTGCCAGCCAATAAAAAGTTCAGAAGTACTGAGTTTTGTACTTCTGACTCTTGGCTGAGAGGGAGGGAACTACAAGCACTTTCCAACAGCCAAGTTTCAGAGCAATGACGGGACAGTAAGAATGTAGGATTAAGACAAAGAACAAAGTTATATTTCACACAATCTATTCTAATGCAGAGAAAAGTACAAGAAAACAGTGCAGTAAAACAGAAAATAAAAGCCCAGTGATAGGATAAGAAATGGAACACACAAACAGATATGGCCAATCAGAAAACAAAAAAAAAACAACATAATTTAAAAGCAATCAAGCAGCAAAGAAATAGAAACTGGTCCTCAGCTCCAGTTTTAGTCTTCAGCCTGTGACTGCACACATGATAAGCCAGGTAATAAAGTGCACTAGGGATAAGGGGTAATGATTCCAGTGAAAAGACCGATTTCCAACGTACCTGGAACTTTATCCTGCACTTAAATTTCACAAGGGTGCGCCCTGATGACCGGCACAAGCCTGCAAATGGCACTGCATGTCAATTCCTGATGTATCCCCCGGCATCTGTATCCCAAGAATATAGTATCAAAGGTTGGCCTTGTATATACACTGAAACCAACTAGATTCTTGGCCAAACCTCAGTACTGTAAACTTAGGCTAAGAAATTGGTCAATATCCTGTTATTGTTCCTAAACAGAAGGATGACAGAGCAGAGTAAACAGCTACACAAACAAACACTTGTACATGCTGTACCAGGAGTAAGTTTAGTTTGCTTCCTAATAAAATGGAAACAATGACAGCTGTAAAGGAAGAAAGTATCTTGAAGTGAAAAACTTTCAAATAAATACTTACATTTTCCTGTCCATAACCTGGGATACCAAACTCGCTCATTGGAGGCCCATCTTCTCTTGGAGTTCCTGGACCATTAGCAGGAGAGTTTTTCATTCCATCTAGACCATCACCTAAAAAAAGAAAGGAAATTATTATAACTTGGAACAAACTTAACAGTGCAGTCTTGAATGGATTAACTTAGCCCTTCGATTGCAAAGTTGATTTATAACTGCTAAATTTTTGTTGGATCTACTTTACAATCTGTATCCAAGCCTTAAGGAACAATACCGAAACTATGTATTACAAGGGATACGATGATAAATCATGGCAGATTTTGTTACCAGTCTTATGAAATAAGACACAAATAAAATTATGTCACTCTCTTACTCGAACATCCTTAAATTCTTCCTTTATTGGATTGAGGAGATAAATAATAGTATATTCTCAGCCAAAAATAACTAATAAAATAGTTCAGTTATACATACCAGTTGAAGACATGCCATTCATTACAGGAGGACCCATATCTGGTCCCATAGGGCCCATAGAACCATCAGGACCTGGACCCATTGGAAACTGGGGGAAAAAATATCTAGTAATTACAAAACACTAGCACTGTTAATTTTTTTCTTTTTCTAATAAATAATGTGTCAACATAATATTATTATAATATTATTAATAATATTAAGGAAATTGAAAATGTATAAACATTATTCTGATGTACAGATTTTTTTTTAATTTTTAGCATTATAAAATAGAAATGAAAGACTAACTTCTACGGGTTAGTTTAGAACTAGTGAAAAGATCTTTCCAAGACATTTTTATCTCATCATCATTCATTAAGGAAACTAACATATGTGAGTTACTTATTAAAAGTGGAAAAAAATTATCTGCAATGCATAATTTTTTTACAAAAATCTCCAATTACAGAGTACTTATGGTAAGATCTAATTAATAATTAGTGACATCTACATGGAACATTTCAAAGTTAATGCCCTCAAAATAGATGATACTTTACACCAGCGTTTTTCAACCTTTTTGATACCAGAAACCAGCTCAATGTCTCCCTAAACTACTGCAGACCACTAAAATTAAAGTTCAATGAAAAATCATTACAATTTGCATATGAATATTGTGCCAGTTTTTGTGAAGTTCCAGGAATTACCACCAGTCTGTTCTACATTAGCTCAGATATGTTGATGATACATTCACAATATATGGTCACACACTACAGACAAGATTGCAGAAATCATGAACCACTGGAAATGACATCGTTCCCACAATACAGTTCAAAATGGATAAAGAAAAACATAAATTCTCATTCCTTAACATGATAGTTATCAAGACACATCATGAGTTTACAGAAAACCCACATACGTGGGTTAAATATTTCAACTACAAAACAAACCAGACAGACATCATAGACTGCCTGGTGTCCAGAATGAAGAAGGTCCGTAATAGCAAAGAAGGAAGAAAAATATATCATTACAAAAGCCACAACAGAATATAATCACAGTTAGTACACATCATACTACTTAAAGGAATAACAGACAAGAACAACACCATTTGATAAACAAAGCAAACTTGGTAATACCAACCTAACCACGATAGCCCATCATGCCAGAGAAGACGACCATACCATAAATTGAAAAAATACTAAAATAATAGGATATGAAACATACATAAGAAGATGAAAAAAGCCTTATGTGTCCACCTAATTAACCGATAACATACTCGGTCATCCTAGCTTAAAAGATGGCCAAACCTGTCCCTTTTGAAAACATTCAAATTAGTTATCTGATTCAAGTTCTAATGGGGTAGACCCAGTTGAGTAAATAATGCACCAGAACACTCAGGATTGAATCCTGGCTGCTGCCAACACAGAAATATTCCTTTCTAGGTCTTCCCTGAAGATGGAAGCACATAGGTAGCAGAAACGTAGGATAAAAATGAGCTAGAAATTTCAAAGATAGGTGTACAGTAAAGTAGCCATGAATGAAAATGTAAGCTGCCAAGTGAAATGAGGTGAAAATGCATAGCAGTATATATTTTCATAGTTCCATATATACACTACAAAACAAATATGCATATACAACCTACAGAAACAAACACTATGCCCAATAATTACAAAAAAAAGTGCAAACATAAATATATAATTTTTTCCCTTGATAAAAGAACAGGGCTGTATGTAAAAGTCTTTCATTCCTGTTGCCTTCAAACTGAAACTAAGTACAGATATGTTTAGGACTAACAAAAGAAGGGATTTCTTTATACAGAGGATGATGGGTGTTTGGAACAAACTGAAAAGCTAATTCTAAAATTTTTGAAGGTCAAGTATTATCGAAAAACTTGCACCAGTTTTCAGGTATTATCCAAAACATGCAGTAAAACTGTCCATGTTGAGAAGCTGAGTGTTTGAAGTCCTTCAAGAAACAGCTTCAATCAACAACCAAATGAGCAAGATGGGCTGAATGGCATATACTCATTTTATAACCTTTCTTAAATTTTTTATTTCGCAGTCTTAATCCAGTCCATAATTAAGGTTATCCTTGGCTTTCTGTACTTTACTGAACTAGCTGGAAGTAACCCTGCTTGCTCAGTGCTTCTTTTCTCAGACTTCTCACTTCTTGGAACATTTGACAAACTGGCAGTAGACTATTCTGTTAAAATACTTTTCTAGTGCATGTTTCTGTCACTATTTTTCTGGACTTCAGCACAACAGTCTTATTTTATAGGGTTTATATGTACAGGAAACTACCTATAAATTTTGCACAGTTCCCCCAAAATTTCTAAAACGGAAAACTCCCATATCTGCAATTATCATCTAGTTATAACAAAAAATATTGGTTATTATTTGATAATTAGGCTTACGTGGTCATATACACTTATAACTGTGATGATGGGCAGTTGTAGAATTTGCATTTAAGTCATTTTGCTTCTACAATTTAGCATAATTTTGTCTCAATTATTAACATTGTGTCCAATTATTCATGGTTGTAATTGTACCCTTTTTTTGTTAATTAAGATTTGCTTGAGTAGAATGCTTAAATAAAACTGGTAAATGAATTAGCTGCAAAGTTAGATCTGGTTATTTATATATTTGGCTAGGTGTATGTATATATATATCTAGCATTGGAACTAATTAATGGAAATGCACAGATAACATACATACAAGTCACAGAAATGAGTAATTGCATATAAATGGCCAATTTAGCATTAATACAATAGTTTACTACAAAAAATAAAAAGTGAATATGTTGTACAATCTACAAGTTTTGTAATTGCTTTAAACAAATCAGTGAACCTTGTTTTATGCTACCATATGTTTATCAAGACATGATGAAATATTGTTCCAAATTATTCTCTACAATTGTATGGTTACTGTTTGACTTTTTCATGTTCCATATAATTCTATACATCAGGTTCTCCCCCATCCCATTATAATTTCACCACATTTGCTGCATACTTCAGATCATTGTCTTGCAGGATGATGAATTCCTGTCCAACAGGTCTTGTTCCTTTCTGAGGGAATGACATAATGGATAAAAATCTTCTTGTACCTGTTAGCAGTCAGGGTACCATCAATTCATGTAGATCTTCAACACCACTGGCTAAGATGCAGATCACACTTAAACATGTTATTTTAGCTATTGTATGTCCACATGTGATACCACTGTTTTCTCTACCACTGAATAAACTATTGTTAATTTTGTTGTCAAGCAATTTGAATTTGGATTCACTTGTGAAGAGCACCCTCCTCCATTTCAGCCATTTGGTTTGATTATCTCTCCTATGCAATGTTTTCTGGAGGTAATACTTACACTGAACTATCGTGCATTGTGTAAAGAGCATAGCCTGAGTTACTCAACATCACTTTAGAGAAAGTTTGGCCTTTTGCTCCCCTAACTGTTTCTGTTATCAACAGTACTAGATTCACGTACCCTAATACAACTCCTACTAAAATATTAAATTTCACCTCAATCTGTAAAATGTAGTAGCTTTCACCATACTACAGGTGAGAAAACTATACTTTTATAGGATTATACCAGTGTTGCAATCTGACTGGTAATTACACTGTAAGCTATCAACATGTGAATGTTCTCTAGTGAAGTTTGTTTTTATACAACAGAGGGGAGTAATCTCATAATAGTTTCTATTATACCGATTTTATTCACCATTTCTATACTTAGTTCCAATACTGTACATATTTGTGTGTGTGCATATATTTTTCCAACAGCAACTTGAAATTAATTCTTACCCCTGGCATATTTCCACCTGGAACAGTTTTCATCAATGTGTACATTCCATCTCCACCAGAGTTAGATGAATCTGAGAGGGGGGAGAGAACAGTTTTCAGTTTTAAATTACAAAAATATTACTTTAGGAATTGACATTCAAGATTTCTGTAAGATACACTGAAGTATTATTAACACTTTAAGATTAAAAGCTTATTCAATTTTCACACCTCTGAGAAAAATGCTGCCACAAAGATATGTTGCTAAGTATGGTTTAAAAATTTAGCTTATTATAATGCTATGTTTTAATTACTTCACATAATGTTTATGAAGATCTTATGTGATCTCTGAGTCGAAATACTAAAGATCAATATGATAGTTTGTTTATGAGATGTAAAAATATAGTCTACTGAAATAAAAGTCAACTTTCATTCAAATCATACAAGTTTTCTGTCTGTTGGATGTTAATATATAGCCTATGGAACACATGCCAATTATCATACAAGTTATAAAAGTTGTTTCATGGTTAATTACACCTCACACTAGTAATAAAGGCTATTTGACTTGTAGATAATTGGCTGATGTAGTTTACTGATGCAAGAAAGTCTTTATCTAGTTATAAAAGCTGTTTCAAAGCCAGATATTAATTCTCAGTATATTTACTATGAATGAATCAATACTGAAGTTGTAAAGAGCATGATGTAGATAATTTGATACAATTCATCATTTTCATACAATGCTTAGCTCAAGTGCTTATTTATTACGTTAGATCATACATAGACCACATTCAAATTATTTTTTACATATTTTACGTCTAGCATTTATCAGATAAGAGTTAGATCGTACATAGATCACATTTCACACTTTTATTTTATTGTTACCTGTAACTGTTATTCACTGACCTGATAAACTTACTTGCAAACAGAACAGGACCAAATCTGACCTAATAAACTTACTTGCAAACAGAACAGGATCAAATCTGGCCTGATACACTTACCTGCAAACAGAACAGGATCAAATCTGACCTGATAAACTTACTTGCAAACAGAACAGGATCAAATCTGACCTGATAAACTTACCTGCAAACAGAAGAGGATCAAATCTGACCAAGTAAAAATCTTGCTGCATTAATGCCTGAAGAAACTATTTCAAAATGAGTGATAGCCCATGCATCACTCTCATGCTAAGTAATTAAATTATTAGTATAAAAGTATTCCCTGAACAGTATTTTATTTTTATTACTTTTTAGTACAATTTACAATATATACAGTTTGTTTGTTTTTTAAGTTTACCCAGTAATTCAGCTCCACCAATTCAGCATGCACAAAGTTTAGCTATGGCTTATAGTTTTTGGTTTAAGCCATTAAAAGATTAATTAGACCCATGGTAGTTTTCAAAACTTTTTCGAAGAAAAATAGTAGGCTTATTAATTGTTAGCTGCCACAAAGAGCAAGTATTAGGGTTTACAATTAAAAGATTAATTAGACCCATGGTAGTTTTCAAAACTTTTTCCAAGAAAAATAGTAGGCTGATTAATTGTTAGCTGCCACAAAGAGCAAGTATTAAGGTTTACAATCCTTTGACGAATTATTAAAAAGGGTTAATTAGCTAGCCATTAAAAATAATAAGGGAAAAGAGGGGTGGATAAGCAGCATATTGAGACAATGCTGGGTTACTGACAAAAACTTATTTTTAAAACTCTATAAAAGTTAGTGGGAGAAGACTATAGATCTAGAGAGAGAGTTTCACCTCTTCTCGTGTTGGGGGCATTCATTCTTGGAGCTGCAGGGGAATAAGGGCCAGCTGTACCTAGAACATATGAAGGTTTGGAATAAATGTTCAGACTTCCCAAGAGAAGGCGCTACAATACAAGATATACTTTGAATGCTCTACAGGCAAAAAGAGTTTAAAAATACATCTAGCTAGACACTACAAAAAATAAAGTATTAATTATAGAACACAAAGATGTAAGACAGTTGCTAGATATGAAACATATTTTATGACTAAAACTATGATTACAGTTATGCGTTGAAATATTTTTCCTAAAATATTTCTAAAATTACTAAACATTTTACCAAAAATATAGTGTTAACAGCTAAAAGCTACTCATTAATTCTGTGTATCTTGTACAGCAATATAATATAACAACACTTCTTAAAGTTAGGGAAGATTTTTCAAAAAGTTGACTAACACTTTGTGCTAAATACAATGTTTTGATGGTACATTAAAATAGAAAGTCAACTTGCATAATCGAATAATTTTAAGTAACCTGAAAATAGAAGATTTCTTCTTAGTTGTCCATTTATATTGTGATAACAAAATACTAGAAAGTCAGACATCAGCAGGCAAAATCATTGTACTATATAACTATACAGTTTGTGCCTCAAATTGCATTCCAGCATTGAACATAACATTTATTATTAAGTTAAATATTTAAAATAAGACCTCCAGCATAATGCTAACATTTTATTTTGAAACCCAATTAATGAGACATTTTTTATGCCTTGAAAAATGTTGGTCATGCTCATTAAAAGTTAAAAAAGCACAATTTACAGAATAAACATGGCATTCTACAAAAACAAAGTCTTATATTAGAAATGAAACATCTAAGAATATATCGCAGCTAATTGCTGTTTACTTGAGCAAAAACAAGAATTGATTATAACATAATAATCAGTCATTTTAATGCTCTACTGAAATATGTACACGTGTGTTTAGCCAAGTGAATTATGAAACACAACTAGACTACAGATTCATTTTGATGGTGTATAAATTATCAATTTCAAATTCTTCTGAATTCTTTGCTGCTTTTTTTTTACGTAGACATCCCAATCATTTTTCTCTATCAATTTGTGCTTGTACTTACCTAAGACACGTAACAGGGATAAATATTTGAGAACAAAAGTACAGTGGATTTGTATATTTAATAAAATCTTAGGGCCGTAAGCACGATTAAACGCATGGACACATCAAAACATAACTTACATACTGGCCACTGCTTCCACTAGTCAGTGCTTTTAGATTAAACGCATGGACACATCAAAACATAACTTACATACTGGCCACTGCTTCCACTAGTCAGTGCTTTTAGGAACAATAGGAGTAACTAACCATGAAAATTAACCAAAGTATTTGAAATATTACCTTGTGGATTTGGCATGATTGGTGTTCCAGGAACAGGAGGACCTGTACTGGACACTGGAGGACCCTAAATATAAAGATGAAGATAATCACAAAACACACACCTGTATTCAGTAATACATTCTAACTTTTTATACAAATAGGAACAAGTTATCAATATAAACTGTTTAAACCTTACAAAACAAGAGTGAAATATCTTAGGTAACATTCCTTCATAAAAAAAAAAGTACTTTGAATGGAAATATCAACCATAAACACCAAGTATTACGGATATAGATATAATATAAAAACCATGGATATCTTATAATATAGTTTGATAGTGGATAGTTCCAAAGATAAAC